TATATATATAATCATATATATGAGTATTTGACTGTAGATAACAAGAGCTGCACCGAAATGTTGCAAAGATACAAAAAAAAAAAGATTCAATAAAAATAGTCAAAGACATTAAAAATGTAGTAAATTTCTGCCATTTAAAACAGTAAACATTTTGGATTACAGAAAGCTGGACTTCCTCAGACTGAACAGCTGGTTTCAGAACTTTAATGGTTTTTACAAGAAACTGAGGTGAAATTTCAGGATTTTTGGAGATTGTACCGCAAAATGATAGATTTTAGTTTAAACTGTGACCAGGTAGTTCCTCCTTGAAAGTTTGTTAATTTGTTATTATCATTGCTGCACGCAGATAATTTATTTTTTAAATCAATGTCACATAATTTCATAAAATCCTCCACACGTTACAGGATTTGTTATTGAAATCCTCGGAGGCGGCTTCCTGTTGGAGTAAAAATCTATTAGTATCATAGAAACGAGCAGGAAACAGGCGATAAGATCATAAGATATAAGGACTGATGGACGATCCATGAGCATTGAGGGTAATCATGTAAATGGAGACAAACAGTAAAACAGGAAGCTCTGACTCTCCACTAAATGATAAATGACAAACTACAACTATATTTGGTCTAAAAACACAACTCATCCTGCAGGTTTGGATGAACTCCGATTTTTTCCACTGTTATGTTTTTCGCTGCTTTCTGTTTTTAAACTCTTATTACGTCATCAAAACGGTAACAACTTTAGCTAAAAACTAAAAATGTAAAAGCTGTAGCTAAAAACTAAAAAATTGCAATAAAGTAAAAAGCTAAAAAAGTAGACAAAAGCTTCAATTAAAAAACATTTCAAAGACAGTATTTGCACAAATATAACAAACAGTAGCTAACAGCTTTAAACATTTTTTAATGAATGCATGGAGGGATGGATGGATGGATGGATGGATGAATGGATGGAGGGATGGAAGGATGGATGGATGAATAAGGGAGGGATGGAAGGATGGATGGAGGGATGGATGGATGGAGGGAGGGATGGATGGGTGGGTGGATGGATGATGGAGGGATGGATGGATGGATGGATGGATGAATGAGGGAGGGATAGATGGATGGAGGGAGGGAGGGATGGATGGATGGGTGGATGGATGATGGATGGATGGAAGGATGGATGGATGGGTGGATGGATGGATGGATAAGGGAGGGATGGATGGATGGAAGGATGGATAGATGATGGATGGAGGGATGGAGGGAGGGATGGATGAATGAGGGAGGGATGGATGGATGGAGGGAGGGAGGGATGGATGAGGGAGGGATGGATAGATGGATGGATGGAGGGACAAATGGATGGATGGATGAGGGAGGGATGGATGGATGGAGGGATAAATGGATGGATGGATGGGTGGATGGATGATGGATGGATGGAGGGATGGAAGGATGGATGGAGGGAGGGAGGGATGGATGGGTGGATGGATGAATGAATGAGGGAGGGATGGATGGATGGAGGGATAAATGGATGGATGGGTGGATGGATGATGGATGGATGGAGGGATGGAAGGATGGATGGAGGGAGGGAGGGATGGATGGATGGATGGATGGATGGGTGGATGGATGGGTGGATGGATGATGGATGGATGGAGGGATGGAAGGATGGATGGAGGGAGGGAGGGAGGGATGGATGATGGATGGATTGAGGGATGGATGGATGAGGGAGGGATGGATGGATGGATGAGGGAGGGATGGATGGATGGAGGAATAAATGGATGGATGGGTGGATGGATGATGGATGGATGGATGGATGGATGAGGGAGGGATGGATGGATGGATGAGGGAGGGATGGATGGATGGAGGAATAAATGGATGGATGGGTGGATGGATGATGGATGGATGGATGGATGGATGAGGGAGGGATGGATGGATGGATGAGGGAGGGATGGATGGATGGAGGAATAAATGGATGGATGGGTGGATGGATGATGGAGGGATGGATGGATGGATGAGGGAGGGATGGATGGATGGATGAGGGAGGGATGGATGGATGGAGGAATAAGTGGATGGATGGGTGGATGGATGGGTGGAGCTAACACCAGCTGGTATAAAATTCTTAAAAGGAAAACTTTATTAAAAAGTGAAGATATTTGAAGGTATTTTAATGTATTTTAATGGGGAAATATTTATGAAAAAGTAAAATATTTTTAAAAAGTATAAAAGTTACAGAAACCAAAACTCACAGCAGCCGTCTGCTGAATGAGCCGAACGTTTTAATTTAAGAATGACTAAAACAACACAAAGTACGCAGAAACAGTTAGACTGTAAAAAATATAAAAGAGAAACTATCAACAGGAAAACGACAGTGTGACTCAGCGTTTTTTTATGAATAAACATGTTTTTATGTTGATGTTTGCATGTTTACATTTTGCCGTTTTTGCTTTGGAGGCAACAAACTTTCAGTATTAATTTAATTTTTGTTAAAAGGACTCGCTGTGGATGTCAGGTGACCTGAGAGGAGCGTCGACTCGTCAGATGGTTTATTTAAACATCATCATCAGGATGAAGAAGACGAGACTTCGGTCCGGMTCCTGAAGTTTGCATTTTATTTGCATTTACGAGCCGATGCATTCGAGTCTCGTTTGTTTTATTTCTGCTTCTTCCTTGTTCTGCAGAATATTGGACCTCGCAGAAAAACAACAAATAAAGTCTGGCTGAAAAAATAAACAACTAAAAGAGGAATGCTTGTCACCCGCTGACGCTGAGTTACAATAAAACTCAGTATAACTACAAATAACACGACATCCGTTTGTACGAGCTGTCTGTGGCAGCCATCTTGGATTGGACTGATGATTGACAGGCGTGATGTCCACAAAGGACTTCCTGAAAGTGTCTCTGTGATGGACTGAGTTTATTAAACTATATTAAAAGTTTATTAAACTGAATTAAGAGTTTATTAAACTTTTTTAAGAGTTTATTAAACTTTTTTAAAGAGTTTATTAAACTGTATTAAGAGTTTATTAAACTGTATTAAAAGTTTATTAAACTGTATTAAGAGTTTATTAAACTGTATTAAGAGTTTATTAAACTGTATTAGGAGTTTATTAAACGGTATTAAGAGTTTTTAATCTGTCTTTCAGTTGTTTAGGCTCTGTTCAAACATTTAAATCGTCCAGATTTGTCGGTTTTAGGCAGAACTGATTTTCGTGTAAAACGTGTCCAATTGAAACCGTTTCATATATTTCTTAATCGATGACATCACTTCTGAACGAGGTCAAAGGTCACAGCCTGCCATCCTGGGCTGACAGATCCAGTGTCTATGAGAAGTTCCTGGTCCTCTGCAGAGCCAGATCAGAACACCCCCTGCAGAAGGTTTCAGGATTATATGAACAAGCTTTGTCTCCTGAACAACAGAGAGCCCTCAGGTGATGATCGCTCCTCCAGCCTCCACACAGGGAGAGGAATGCATGTCGCCCGCCACCGTTCAGGCCAGAGATTTACACTTATTATGCTAAGAAATTACGACGTTTGGTCAAAATGAAACAATTTCATGTCACAGCACTCAGAGTTTCTGTTGTGGACGACTCAGCTACTTCCACACCAAACTTTAGCTCCATATCTGCAAAACTGACTGTCATAGCATGTTCTGTGTTATGTACATTGTGTAGGCTGTACATTGTGTAGGCTGTAGAGGACAGTTTATGTTGGATTGACTCTAAAATTTAATCAGTTGTAGATATGTATCTATTGATTGTTTCCTGAATGTTTCAGTAAAATGCATTAAGTACTTCCTGAGATATTTTGCTAACACACACACGTTTAACCCCTAACAGTTATTGCTAAAGTTTTAAGCACAGATTTGGTGTAATTAGCAGAACTCAGATTATGTGTTAGAGATGACTCTCGGCTACTACCACACCAAACTTTAGCTCTATATCTGCAAAACTGACTCAGTTATACCATGTTATTGTTATTTAAGTTTTGAAGGCTGTGGAAGTTATTTGAAATCAAATTGACTCCAAAATTTAAACAGCTATAGTTCTGCATCTAATGAATGTTTCCTGAAAGTTTCATTAAAAATCACCCAGTAGTTCGTGAGATATTTTGTTAACAGAAAAACGCAGCGGACTCCTGTAGTTTAAGGCGAAGCTTCAGAAGCAAATCTCGCGCAATCACTCWGCGCTCGGAGAACAAGTTGAGGGTCAGTCTCAGCTACTACCATTTCAAATTTCAGCTCCATATCTGCAAAACTGACCGAATTACACCCATTGTTGTGTTGGCTAAAATCCCTTCTCTGTGGCCGTCATCTCAAATCGAGTTGACTCCAAACCTTTATCAGCTGTAGGTGATAATCCAGAGATTATGTTCCGGGAGTTTCATCAAAATCCACCCTGTGTTTTAGGAGATATTTTGCTAACACAAACGAACAAAAGCCCTGTTTCAAATGAACCGGAGCTGCCTTACATAAAACAGACAGCTGCTCTGCCTCAACATCCTGTTTCGCAAACTTTAGATGAAAAGTGCAGCGCTGCAGCCTCTTCCGGTGTTTTTATTCTTTAATCAAAATATCTGCTTTATTACGTGTTTATCGCCGGCTTCCTGTTTTCCTCCTCACAATAAGTAAATAAAWGTGAGAGGAGCCGACAGGAAGCGCATCGGTAGACCCGGGGACCCCTCTTTGGACCGGTGCTGTCAAACCCGTCCCTTACCTTCCCGTGCTTTCAGCAGCACCGTGTTGGCCACGATGTTCTCCAGCTCCATGTCGAGCCGCGCGGGGTCACAGCAGCGGCAGCGCCCGGTGCTCCTGGTGGTCCGCCCGCCGCTTCCCCCCTCCCGGCTCCCCGGTAGCTTCGGTTCCCTAAACACCGTCCGCCCGGTCCGCCCAGTCACGGAGGAAGAACTGAAGGCTCCGAGCTCGCCCTCCTCCCTCCCTCCGTCCTGAAGCTGCTGTCAGAGACGACGGAAAAACGAAGATGCTCACTCGGTTGTATTTTTAAATGTTGCTTTTTTTTAATGGTCGCCTCAGAAAACGCAAAAACTAATACAAATTAAATTTTACACATGATTTCAACACAAATGTTAAGCTCTAACAGACCGAAGATAATTTTTATTTAAAATTTGTCCAATACATTTTCGTTAGCTTTGGCGGCCATCTTGAATTTAAATTATTTAAAAACATTAGCAACTACTTTCAGCTACTACCACAGTGAATTTTAGTTCAAAAGGCCCTAAAAAATGACTGAGATATGTTTGACAGTCATCTTGAATTTTTTATTTGCATGTAGCATTCAGTTAGTGTTGGATTTGGGATGGCTCTCAACTACTATGACACCAAATTTTAGCTCAATATTTATAAAATAGGAATTATTTTGGCTGTTTTTTTAATTTTCTCAAGTTGATTAACTATGGCGGCATATAGAGAGCCGTTTCATTCAAAATGAAATAAACAAATACATAATTGTATATTATAAAAAAATAAAATAAATATTAAGACATGCTAAAAATGTATTTTAATTATAATGATTTTGTTTTATTTCACAGGGACACTTATTTATTTATTTATTTATTTTGAATAAAATGGCTCTCCATAGTGGCCAACTTATGTTGAATCTATAAAGTTGGTCAGCTCTCTACCACCACACCAAATTTTAGCTCGATATCTAAATATGATGGCCATATTTGAATTACGTTGGGCGACCATCTTGAAATTTTGATTAGCCTTCACAATACGTTGGCTGTCAGCTACTGTCACGTCAAATTTTAGCTTAATATTTGTAAAACCGACATATTTTTGTGTTTGCTCAAGTTGATTTTCTGTGGCGGCCATCTTGAATTCAGTTGAATCAAAAAAAGTTGGACAACTATCAGCTACTACCACAACAAAATTTTAGCCCAATAGAGCTGATAATCATAGAGTTATAGACATTTTTGTTTTAGCTAAGGCAGACATTTTTAACGTCAATTAACTGTGGAAGCCATCTTTAATTTTCCCCCAAACAACCCAAGCCACAGAAATGAGTTAAAACAAAAACTTGGGAACAAACTGGTTTGAAATCATCGTGTGGAAGTGCTGGTGTCTCGGTTTGGATTCAAAGCAAGACGTCAATAAATTTCTGTTTGTTGAGGCTCATGTGTCTTCCTGCAGGAAGTGGATTTCCCTGCCCGGATCAATAAAATCAGCACCACAGTGCATTAAAGGTGCATTAAGGATGCATTTACTGTTATGTCATATGGCATACACTGATGATAACATCTCACACACCAGGAAGAGAGTAAAAAGTTATCGATCAGCAGGACTGATTTTTGTCTCTTGGGTCATTTAATGTTTTGAGTTAAACCAAATTACCAAAAAATAAAATAGATTATTAACAAGTCACTTTGGTACATATTCAAAATGTGCACAAAAAGGAAGAAAGAAAACTATAATGGGATATTTCATGTGAATCCTGACTCTGAAAACAGGAAAAACTTTTTTTTTACTCAGCCTGACATCTAGAGGATAAAACCAGCAGCTGCAGATGTGGTGCAGCTTCCATCCAGCTTCACATCAAGCTCTATCAGAATAAGTTTTAATTAAATATTAAAGACGAACAAACACATATCTGTCATAAAAATATTATCAAATACATTAAATTCATTTTGTTAAAGTCACTTTAAAAAGCTTTRATACTTATTTTTCACTACAGAGAATACCAAATGTTAGAATCCATCCAAACGCTGAATATTGTAAGTTTTAATCACAAAAAGTAAATTGGAAACAAAATCAATGGGGCGTGGCTTCTACGGGCACGTCACTGAGCCACGCACAGCACGTGCACGGTGCTTCCTGTTTGCTTCCGCTGCACGTTGACTTTCCCGTGTAGCCCAGCGTGGAAAGGAGCATTTCAAAATGCCGAAAACGAGAAATAAGTTCGACTACAACAAGAACCGGAAGAAGCTGAAGAAGAAGTTATTAAAAAAGAGAAAACCCAGAATCGAAAAGTGAGTCTGGACCGCTGCGGCTCGTTAGAATGTCTGGTTCTGTTTGCTAGCAATGTTAGCCTGGTGTTAGCACAACAACTAGCTAATATCTGAGACTATTTGAGATACAGGTTTCCTGTGTTTGATTAGGTTAGGTAACAGACAAATATCAAGCTGATATCTAGTGTTTAATTGTGTAAGCTAACATGCTAATGTCAGCTTGTGTTTAATGTTTATTTGGGTTAGCTAATGGGCTTAATCAGACTGGTTTCCTGTGTTTACTTAGGTGAGCTAACATGCTAAAATCAAGCTGGTATTTAATGTTTAAGTGGGTCAGCTAACATACTACTATCAAGCTGGTTTCCARTAATTAGGTTAGCTAACATGCTAATATCAAGCTGGTGTCTAGTGTTTACTTAGGTGAGATAACAGGCTAATGTCATGCTGGTTTCTAGTGTTTAATTATGTAAGTTAATATGTTAATGCCAGCTTTTGTCTAAAGTTTATTTGGGTTAGCTAATGGGCTAAATCTGACTGGTTTCCTGTGTTTATTTAGGTTAGCTAACATGCTAATATCAAGCTGTTATTTAGGTTAGCTAACATGCTAAAATCAAGTTGCTATTTAATATTTAAGTAGGTTAGCTAACATGCTAGTATTAAGCTGCTTTCCAGTGTATAATTAGGTTAGCTAACATGCTAATATCAAACTGTTATAATTAGGTTAGCTAACATGCTAAAATCAAGCTGGTATCTAATGTTTCAGTAGGTTAGCTTACATGCTAATATTGTGGTACCTGGAGTTTTTGATTACTCAGAGTATAATTAAAATATTCATTGTTTTTCTCTGTAATTAGCTGTAGGTTATATTTTGACAGCTGCTGTATAAACTCACTGATTTTTTTTTTTTTTTTTGATAGTTTACTGTTTTTGTTCCAGCTCAGGACGATTTTTCTTGGTCTGCATTTTTCTTGTCACCACTTTCCAAGATTTGTATGTAAGATTTTCTTTTCTGTCAGTGCACAGATCCGAAACGCCTGGGACGACAGCAAGTCCACGTCCAGAAACCTGCTGGACATGGGTCTGTCCTTCGACCCGAACCGAACGATGCCCGTAAAGAAAAAGACGGTGAGTGATTCCTGAGAAGGTCAGGTTCAGGAATTATCCTGAGCCCAAACCCAGCTGAGAGGTTCTGATGAGGTCCTGCAGTTCAGATTTAATCCAGCAGGAGGCATCGGAGTGTCAGCGGTGATGAACTGCAGCTGATAACGTAAAACTTGTCYGATCTTCAGCTGCTTTTAAATATTTTATCACTTTAATAATCACTGATTCTCTCCTGTTTACACCTCAATGCTGACTTGTTGTTTACCTGCAGCTTCCTGGACACCGCAAAGAACCTAAACACATCACCACCAAACCCTATGTTCTGAAAAGTGAGTATTTGTTCACCGATGAATTAGTCAGTTAAACTTTTAAAGTATTTAAAGTGAACATTTTAACAATAAAATCTAGAGAAATCTGAAAACAGTTTGACTGTGTGCAGAGCTGCAGGAGGAGGCCAGTCTGCCGGAGAAGGACTGTAAGACTCTGTCCTCGGACCTGATCCAGTACGTCCAACACATGGTCCGAGAACACAAGGATGACTACAAGGTAAACCCAACATTTAGATGTTTAATGAGTTCAACACGTGAAGCTGAAGTTTTGAACAGCTCCAAGTCTTGATTTTAAAGGTTTTTTTCTTTTAATCAACTAAACATTAACCTCAACAAGTGAAGAGGGTCGTAGAGTTGGACTCCCTTATAGTCTATGTGGGTTTATGGCCCCCRGACAGGCGGTCTGTGAGGGGTGCAGGGCCCGCACACGGACCCGTTGAGCTGATTTGACGTGTCGTTCTGCTGCAGGCCATGGCTCGAGACGAGAAGAACTACTACCAAGACACGCCCAAACAGATCCGCAGGAAGATCAACGAGTACCAGCGCTGCCACCCACAGCACTACCAGGCCTTCATGAGCTCGCTCTCAGCTCCAGAACCCATGGCCCAGTAGGCGGGTCGGACCCCCCTGGTCTGGACTGGGTATCTTGATTCTGGAGTTCTGGACTTTCAGACTGACAGAGGTCCAGTTTGTGGACAAAGGATGTTTAAAACTAACGAAGCTTTTGACCCCCATCTGGACCGGATTTATCAACAACCTGCAGACAAACAACTTGATTACATCCAGTTTTAATAAAATGTTTATATAAATTCAGGAGCTTCAACCTTCTGCTTTTATTTTGAAACTTGTTTTAATC